TTGGCACTACAGGCAGTCCCCGGGTTACGTACAAGATAGGGACTGTAGGTTTGTTCTTAAGTTGAATTTGTATGTAAGTCGGAACTGGTACATATTGTAGGGGAAACTCTAGCCAAACATTTCTCCAGAGCTCAGTTTTATTCTCCCACACCTCACTTCCCTCAGTCCTTTATTCTCAAGCCGAGGTGTCTGCTGAGAAAAGCCGCTCCGCATCTCCCTGGTCTGCTGGGGGGAGGGGGGGCACTAGCTTCGCGTCTCCTTGGTCTGCTGGGGGGAAGCAGCTAGTGCGGGGTTGCCTCACCCCGTTTGTAAGTAGGGATCCAATGTAAGTCGGATCCATGTAACCCGGGGACTGCCTGTACCTAAAAGAGTGCTATAAGGAGGAGGGAGAAAAATTGTTCTCCTTAGTCTTTGAGGATAGGACAAGAAGCAATGGGTTTGAACTGCAGCAAGGGAGGTTTAGGCTGGACATTAGGAAAAACTACCTGTCAGAGTGGTGAAACACTGGAATAAGTTGTCTAGGGAGGTCACTGAATCTCCATCTCTGGAGATATTTAAGAGCAGGTTAGATAGACATCTATCAGGGATGGTCTAGATCAGGGCTTCCCATCTGTCAATGGCCCTAGTGGCCTGTAGGTGCTTGTGGGGTGGTGACGCTCCCCATGTAAGCCGGAGGCAAACCACCCCGGCTTATTTTAGCCCTGTCTCTGTGGGTTGGGCCGCCCAAGTCCTGGCAATGAGGCTTAGTGCCGGTGTTCAGGGGGGTCCTGGGGCCTCCCAGACTTCTGGGGAGATTCCGCCCTCCCCAATCACGGGTCCCCAATGCATAGCCGATGGATGAGGTGCTGTCCCCTGCTCTGGTTCCTGCTATGCTATGTCGGGACTGTGGGGGTCCCTGCCACTGAACAGTCTATGGTTCCCAGTCCGAGGTTTGAGATCGGTCCTGGTTGGTGATGGTGTTGGTATTGGTGGTAGGGGCGTTGGCAGGGTAGGGGGCCTGGGGCCTCCCTCCCCACCGGGCACTGGCCCAAAACCCTCAGGATATAGACTGGTCCTTTTGGGGAGTCCCTCCGGAGCTGATACAGGCCCACTCCTTGATTCCCTATGGCTCCCTTTCGCCCTGGGCCGCTTCCTACCCCATCATACGCTGCGCCTCCTGTCACACCCCTGACCAAGGTTCCTGCGCCTTACCGCTGCGCCGTGTCCAAGATTCCCAGGCTGAAGTAGAGTCCCTGCCCCCGTGGTGCTTGCTGTGGAGTCGGCTTCGGGGTCCCACAGGCCCCTGGCTCTGCCCCTCCCTCCTGGGGAGCCCCTCGTTGAGAGGGCAGCCTCTGGGGATCAGGAGGCTTGCTCACCACTTCTGGTCCAGGGTTCCTTCCTCCCTCCATGGCTGGTCGGCTCCTGCTTCTGCTGCCCCTGTGCTCCTGCCGCCCTCCTGGGATGGCGGTTCTCCACCTAACTCCAGGACTGCTTCAGCTGTACTCTGCAGCTGGTCGCTCGCTGCCTCCGCCGCCTCTGAGCTGCTCCCGGTTTCCCCGGACACTGGCTCTCCCTCCCTCTCCCTCCTCCCCTGCTGTGCGTGCCAGCGCTCCCTTTGAATGACCCGCCGGCCCGTTCATGCATGAGCTGCAGTGTTGCGGCGAGTTGCTGCGTGCCACGGCCAGCACTAAGAGGGGGCAGGGTGACGACGCCTTGTCACACCAACCTATGGGTCGGGACCCAAATATGGGTCGCCATTACATTTCAAAAGGGTCTCCAAGTATCTCCCCAAGTGGCTCTGCCCCGTTTTTGAACTGCCTTGGGTCACAAAATCTTCCTGAATTGTCAAGATGGGTCCCCATCTGGAAAAGGTTGGGAACCACTGGTCTAGATGGTGCTCCATCCTGCTGTGAGGGCAGTGGACTGGACTCAATGACCTTTCAAGGTCCCTTCCAGTTCTAGTGTTCTATGATTGAAAGAGAGGTCTTGTGTCCTGGACTTCTCTTTGCAGATTATAATAAAGTGAAATGGTCTCAGATTTATTTTCTTTATCTAAGTCATGTATTATAATTCAACAGATAACTGTTTAAGGGCGTTAAAACATATTTTCTTAATTATAAGAATGTGCTAATGTGGATTTCTAATATTCTTCACCAATAAAAATACGTTTAAAATTAGTTTTTATCATTTTGGCATTAAAAAAATCTAAGACTTTGGCTTACCAACAGCGGTAGTCCTGATCCACTCCCAGAACTCTGTGACTGGTCAATAAGATCCTTTAATGCGCTTCATCTTGCTCCAGATCACGATTATAACAACGTCTTTTTGCTGCCCATCTACAGTAATGTCTGCAAAAAAAAACCCTACAGATTAATATTTTTGAACATCTTGAACTATGAAAAGAAAAAAATCTAAATATAATTTTTTTAAAAATAAGCAGTATTTATTGCATATTCGTGTACTTTTATATGACAGATTGAAGAATATTTAAATTGTGTACAAAAGACAATTGAGACTCATCCCCATGCTCCATCCTCATGCAAAAGTCTCTAGGAAAATCAAAGTTCAAAAATTCACAGGTACTTGGCTGTTTGATTAAAACTTTCTGCAAAACATTGGGAATACTAGCTACAGCTAAGGCTGGAGCAAGCTGTTCCAACCACTGCTGCTGACAGTAAGTAGGAACTGAGGAGGGAGGGGCCGGGGAGTGCCCTATATAGTGTGGCATAAATGCACACCACTCCAGGGGGTACTGGGACCCCAGCTCCTATAAGTACTGCTTACGGAAAAACTTACGGCATCGGTGTATGTGGCAGGCACACACACCTATGTTGAATGGACATGAGCACGCAAAGAAGAATTTTTCTAACAAAATAAATATAATAAAAATCACAAACCAGAAAGCAGAGATATTTAATGAAACCATGATTTTTTTATATTAAACTTATTTGCTATGTCAATGCCTCCAATTATGACACCTTGGCTAATGAACTAAACGCCACTGAATGCACAATAAACATTGTTCTTTAAAGCAACCACACTGAATATGAGGATTATAATCTGTTCCTTGCTGCTTCCACTCCTCAAACTGATATTGAAATGACAGTGTCCTAATTACTTAAGATTGTTGTCTATTTCACTAACTTCCAAATATGCATAATAATAGAGAAAAATAAGTGAAGCTACTTGCAGGGGTGGACTGGCCTGGCGGGATACCGGGAATTTCCCGGTGGGCTGTCGTATTTACCCGTGATGGGCCGTCGTTGCCCCGCACTCTGAGCGGCTCTTCGTCTGCGCTGTATGTGGCGCATGAAGCCCGACCCGCTGCTTGTGCTGCGTGTCGGACGTGACACAGGGAAAGGGGGTGGGGCTTGAGGTGTATGCAGGGGTGACGTCATGGGGAGGGCTGTTCCCAAGCCTATTTTGATTGTCAGTCCGCTCCTGGCTACTTGCACCAGGACTCCATTAAGTCCTATTACTACTGAGTAAGCCTGGGTTTATCAGTTAATCTTCTAGACTACTTGCATTTCCCCTCCGCTTGCTGCCTCTGTATCAGAGGCAGTGGAGAGCTGGTTCTGTGGGGAGCATGGTCCCCTGGGAGGGGGGGGGGGGGGAGCGGGGGGGGTCCGTGGGGAGTCCAAGCTCTCCACCAACAGCAGCTCCAGCCCCATAAGAAGGAGATGCTGGGGGAATGTTGAGGCTCAAGGCTTCCAGTACTGAGACTTGAGGCAGGCTGGATGAAATTAAGCAGTGGGCCAGAAGTTTCCCACTCTTGACATACACCACTGTGGTGCCTGCGCATATCTTGAGCAATTCTTCTGGAGAAAAATGGGGAGGAAAAATATGCCTTAAAAATCATTTACAAACACCTTTGTTAAGTTAGAGTTAAGACTGTTGCCACACAACCAAGCTTTTCACTTTATACATGTTCCTACAACATGGGGCTTCAAAATCCTAAATAACCATCGGAAAGCCAGAAAATGCTCAGTTCAGATCAAATCACACATTGCTATCCTGCCTCCAACACCTTCAAAATGTCTGTAACCAAAACCTTACAAAAACTGCGAAATACATAGTTAAAATAAGCTTCACACACACAGTATCTGGGTGGGAGTTAAGGTATTGGAGGGAACACAGGGCTGGGGCAGGGTTACGGTATGGGGCACTTACTTGGCACAGCTGCAGCTCCCATTTGGTATTGTGGGGATGCGGGTGGCTCAGTGTGCCCTAGTCTGCCTTGCACTCGTTTGCAGGCACTGTCCCTCACAGCTTCCCATGAATCATGGACAATGGGAGCTGTGGAGGTGGAGCCAGCAGGCAAGGGTGGTGCAGGGATGAAACTTCCCAGCACATGGAGCCACATGGCTCAAGCCAGGGGTGCGGGAAGAACAGGCACACATGGAGCCTCCCCTCCCTCAGCACAGCTCCCTTCGAATGTAGTACGCAAAGGCTTTAGTGGCTGCAGCCCAGCGCACCACTGGGGCTTTGGGCAGCAGCCCCTCAAAGCATCTTTCTTAATCTGTGTCTGCTGCCAACCTAACTTTCCTCTTGTACTGCTGGCACAACAACCGCATCATCCACTACATGCATCAATAGATCTTATATACTGCCTTCAAATATCATATATACAACTTCATAAATCATAGTTTATCATCATGCACTATTTGCCAGAAAGCAGCAGAAAAACCAACCCAGCATAATTTTGACTGCTGAATGGTGCAAGTCTCCTGAGTCCTGTTTCTTTCAATACAGGCAGTCCCCGGGTTACGTACAAGATAGGGACTGTAAGTTTGTTCTTAAGTTGAATCTGTATGTAAGTCGGAACTGGTACATATTGTACCCCAGGCATCCCCGATTCAGCCGCTGCTGAAACTGACCAGCGGCTGACTACAGGAAGCCCGAGGCAGAGCTGCTTTGCCCCAGGCTTCCTGGAATCAGCCGCTGATCAGTTTCAGCAGCGACTGACTTGGGGACGCCTGGGGCAGAGCAGCTGGGGTGCTGCTGGGTTGGTCCCCACAGAGGGGGCCCAGGGAGATGCAGAGCAAAGCCGCGGAGGACACGGGTGGCGGGACCGCAGCGCTTCTCGGCGGTCCTGCCACCCGCGTCCTCCGCGGCAAGAAAAGCCTGGTCTGCTGGGGGGGATGCACTAGCTGCCCCCCCCAAGCAGACCAGGGAGACGCGAAGCAACTTCATCAGATGAGTTGGAGTAGAAAATTTAACTATTTTACAAACACTCAGACCTATTCTGCACTATCAATAGAATTTAAAATTTCTACCAGGTTTCATTTTGACAGATGCCCAATACCAAATGTCCATGAAAATCTGAATAAAACCTTCTTACATGATCTTACTATATCATATGCAGAAGACATAAATACTTGAATGTTTTCACTACGTTACCGGATTAAATTTAGTTGGGACTGGGCTTGTTTTGAGCATGGGGTTGTACTAGATCAGTGGTTCCCAAACTTTTCAGCATCACACCCCCTTTTTGATTTTTGAGAATCTCTCTCTCTCTCTCTCTCTCTCTCACACTCACACTCACACACACCCCTCCCCCCCCCCAAAACCTGAGCGGGGCCAAAAAACTAAAATAGTGGGGGTGGAGGGGCGGGTCACCTTGCACCCCCCCTGGAATTCCTTCATGCTCCCAGTTTGAAAACCTATGTACTAGATGATCACTAGAAGTCTCTTCCAACCATAATTTTCTATGATTCTATGAAATGTATGGTTTAAAATGAAAAAATATAGGGTCAACAATTCATACCTTTGCAGGGGAAAAACAGAATGTCAATATGTGACAAAAAAATGGAATGTTTTGTTTGCAGTTCAGACTATGGAGAACAAATATAGCTCCTTAAAAAAAAAAAGGCAGAAAACAGTATTCCTGTGGCTTTTTAAAAATACGTTCCTAAGACAAAATAATGTCAAAGATAACTCAGAAGTAGAACAAAAATAAAAGAGAAGTGGGTGAATATCTAACTGCAAAAGTGTTAACATATTCTTGATTAAGGAATTTTATAGTGTCAAAACCATACACTGTTTTGAAAACTTGTAGTTTTCACATTCTCCTGGAATAAGACATCAAATTCTATGAAATCCCTTTACCGCATGTTAATGTCTACATTTTTACCTAACACTATAAACTATTGTCTACAGAGATGTGCATCATCGTGTAGGAAAAAATATCAGTGCCAAAGGAAATATTTTTCCTTACTTGTAACAAAAGCAGCTAAATAAGATGATCATAACAATGATGCAGACTGCCATCGAAATCAGCACTGCCATCCAACGAATGCCGCCATCAAAAAGTCCATCTGTTTAAAAAAAAAGTTATACTACTTATTTCCTAAAAAGTTGCTAGTAATTAGATTCTCACAGAATATTTTATTTATATTTATCAGTTACTTTTCCAAAGATTGTGTATTTTGTGATTGACAAATATTGTTTTGCTTTTGGTGCTGCAGCTATTCAAAACAATATTAGAATCCTTCCAAAACTGGCAGTAGGATAAGAAATTACAAAGCATCGATTTTATTCACTATAGCAATGCTGACATTATTGTGGGAATGTGCCTCATTTTTTTACGCATACATACATACATATATAAAAAAAATTCCTTGCTATCTTAATATTGCTACAATGCTGGTGATAACTCATTTCAATGCTCCCAAAGTCTTTCATTTGCAACAGATACCAAATATTCTCTCCAACTTCAAAAAACCCTCACACCAATCTTATTGGTAATTTCACATAGGGTACGTCTAGACTACATGCCTCTGGCGACAGAGGCATGTAGATTAGGTTACCAGACATAGGAAAATGAAGCGGCGATTTAAATAATCGCCGCTTCATTTAAATTTACATGGCTGCCGCGCTGAGCCGACAACCAGCTGATCAGCTGTTAGTTGGCTCAGCGCGGTAGTCTGGACGCTCCCCTGCTGACATCAAAGGTATTTGTCGACCACCCAGGTAAACCTCATTCCAGGAGGAAGACCTGGGTGGTCGACAAATACCTTTGATGTCAACACCCGCGCGTCCAGACTATTTGTCGGCTCAGCGCGGCAGCCATGTAAATTTAAATGAAGTGGCGATTATTTAAATCGCCGCTTCATTTTCCTATGTCTGGTAGCCTAATCTACATGCCTCTGTCGCCAGAGGCATGTAGTCTAGACGTACCCATATTCTTCTATCAACAAGTTTGCATATCTGACTTTCCCATACCCCATGCACGGGGTAAATTACTCTCCCTTGGCACTGCTGATTTGGCTGTAAAAGGATTTAAATGTACTGTTAGAATAGTCACATTTCAGAGGAGAAAGGAGACTGAAATACCTTCTACCCATCTTCAGTGGTTGTTGAGATAGACTTTTAAGTTCTCATGGCACTTGTTATAAACACTGAAGTATAGTTCAAGAATCTTGATAATATACCCAGTCTGTCCTGTGAGTCTGGTTGACTCAAAAATTGATAATGATAGAGGCAGATTCTGGGTTATTTATTTAAATCTTGTCCTGGTTGATAGCTATTAAATGTTCTCACCTGATGGCTCTTGGTCTACCTAATACTGTTTGGTAGTCCTATTATCATGCCTGCTGTGTAGGAGCACCCAACACAATCCTTCAGGGCTATCTTACAAAAGGAGTCAATATTTAACTGGAATTGAGCTACATTAATATCCTATAGTTCAATTTACTTTCCCTTGACAGCATAATTGGGGGAAACTTTCACAGTTGCTACATTTGTTCTGTGTATAAACACAAGAACAGAGTTTCCAGAAATATCTAATATGGCACATTTCTCAACTATAAATTCACTAAAAGAGAACATGTAAATAGAATCTAATTTAAAAGGGTATATGCGAGAGATAAGGAACATTAACTGATCATATGATCTTCATAGTGTTCTAATACTCATCTGTTTTTCCAAGCTATTTCAAATTAAAGTAATGGTGTTACATAAATCTGAAGACAAAGGCATGGGAAGAATGTGATGTACTTTAAAGGACTGGGCGGTCCATTTACAATCATAGTCCCAATGACTTTTTAAACATATAAAATTCATGTTCTGTGCCTGTAGCACTGGATAAGTGCTTCATAAAACTGGATACATAGACAAATGAATAATTATTGTTCCGTTTACTAACACACTACTTTGCTAGTTAGATATTGTAGGTTCTCTGCTTTCTCTGTCAGGAGGCTCAAAATTTCAGGAGGAAAATGGGCCAAAAATGTTTACTTCAGTAGGAATTAGAACACTATTACACAAAGTTTAGGAGAGTTATCAAATATTTATACAAGTTCAAGTTGGAGTTTCCAAGATGGATGAAAGCTGAGAAACTTTGGAGGTGAACACAGTTGCAGAGAAAGACAATCCAAAACAAAGTGATTTTGATGAATCTTGTCAGTTTTGACTTTAAAAAATTAGAAAGATTTAGGGCAATGAGAGACTGAGAAGAGATAAAGGAGTTTCTGGCATTGAACAGATATATAATTGTTCAGTTAGGAGCAGAGTAGGAGCAAGAAGTACGACAGTAGATATAATTGGATAAGATCTGAGACTTCTTTCAGACATGGTCAGCACAGTAGAAGTTACAGAGAAAGCTAGGCTGCAGACTGTTGATAGGACAAAACAATGCACAAGGGAAACAAAGCGTGGAACAAAGGACAGTGACAAAGTTAGATTAATGTAGACAGGAACGAGGAGGTAGCAAATCAGGTATGAGCGAAAGAAGATGTGACACCAGAAAGAGAGAAAAAAGATTTTGCTAGCCCAGGGAGGGCACTGTGGGGTTTGAGTGTGAAGGGAGATGGGGCACGCCCTACTCCTAGGGCACATGTGCATCTGTGTTCCCCGCCACTACTGCTGCTATGGGAATGGCAGGAAAAGCCTCAGGGGAAGTGACACCACAGTTCATCCAGCGGGAGGTGGGGGGAGCGGCGGGAGGGCAGAGGAGAGAGGGCACAGCAGTGCACAGTGCCACTTCCTCCTCCGTACCACAGGCGTTCCCAGAATAGGGACACCAGAAGTACGAAGGAGGTTCATCTGGAGGAATAAACCCATTCAACCTTGATCTGTATACACAAAAAACAGCAGTTCACCTGTACCACCAACTGGGGGGAGCGTGGGTTGTAGATCCCGATTGCAGAAATCAGTTCGACAGCATTCAATTGTCCGACGTAGCTGTGCTTTTGGGGAATCCTGTAAAAGAAGAACATAACATAAGAACATAAGAATGGCCATACTGGGTCAGACCAAAGTTCCATCTACCCTAGTATCTTGTCTGCCAACAGTGGCCAATGCAAAGTGCCCCAGAGGGAGTGAACTGAACAGATAATGATCAAGTGATCTCTCTTCTGCCATCCATCTCCATCCTCTGACAGACAAAAAGGCTAGGGACACCATTCCTTACCCATCCTGGCTAACAGCCATTAATGGACTTAACCTCTATGAATTTATCTAGTTCTTTTTAAAAGCCTGTTATAGTCCTAGCCTTCACAGCCTCCTCAGGCAAGGAGTTCCACAGGTTGACTGTGTGCTGTGTGAAGAAAAAACTTCCTTTTATTTGTTTTAAACCTGCTGTCCATTAATTTCATTTGGTGGCCCCTAGTTCTTGTATTATATTAAATAACTTTTCCTTATTCACTTTCTCCACACCACTCACGATTTTATATACCTCTATCATATCCCTCCTTAGTCTCCTCTTTTCCAAGCTGAAAAAGTCCTAGTCTCTTAAATCTCTCCTCATAAGGGACCAGTTCCAAACCCCTAATCATATTAGTTTCCCTTCTCTGAACCTTTTTTAATTCCAGTATATCTTTTTTGAGATGAGGAGACCACATCTGTACGCAGTATTCAAGATGTGGGCGTACCATGGATTTATATAAGGGCAATAAGATATTCTCCATCCCTTTTTTAATGATTCCTAACATTGCTTGCTTTGACTGCCTCTGCACACTGTGTGGACGTCTTCAGAGAACTATCCACGATGACTCCAAGATCTCTTTCCTGATTAGCTTTGCTAAATTAGCCCCCATCATATTGTATGTATAGTTGGGGTTATTTTTTCCAATGTTCTATGTCTCTGACAATGTTATTCTCTGCTATTGTTTCAGCTAATTTGTCCAGTACTGACGTTAGACTTATAGGTCTGTAATTGCGGGATCTCCTCTAGAGCCCTTTTTAAATATTGGCGTTACATTAGCTATCTCCCAGTCATTGGGTACAGAAGATGATTTAAAGGATAGGTTACAAACCATAGTCGTTAGTTCCGCAATTTCACATATGAGTTATTTCACATGGGTGAATGCCATCTGGTCCTGGTGACTTGCTACTGTTAAGTTTATCAATTCATTTCAAAACTACATCTAATGACACTTCAATCTGTGACAAGTCCTCAGATTTGTCACCTATGAGGGACGGGTCAGGTTTGGGAATCTCCCTAACATCCTCAGCCGTGAAGACTGAAGCAAAGAATTCATTTAGTTTCTCTGCAATGTCTTTATCGTCTTTATGTGCTCCTTTTGTATCTTGATCGTCCAGGGGCCCCACTGGCTGTTTAACAGGCTTCCTGCTTCTGATGTACTTTAAAAACATTTTGTTATTGCCTTTTGATTTTTTGGCTAGCTGTTCTTCTAACTCCTTTTTGGCTTTTCTTATTATATTTTTATACTTAATATGGCAGTGTTTATGCTCTTTTCTATTTTCCTCACTAGGATTTGACTTCTGCTTTTTAAAAGATGCCTTTTTATCTCTCATTGCTTCTTTTACATGGTTTTTAAGCTATGGTGGCTCTTTTTAAGTTCTTTTACTGTGTTTTTTAAATTTGGGGTATACATTTAAGTTGGACCTCTATTATGGTGTCTTTAAAAGTGCCCATGCAGCTTGCAGGAATTTACTTGCAGAGAACAGAGAAAATAACCCAAAAGTTTTGAAATGGTGAAATGTGAATGATGGGACAGAAGTAAAGCACTGTGGAGATTACATAGCTAAGATTGAGTTCTATTTGCACATAAAATAGGGATTCAACCTTCTTGGTTATGTATGAAATATATGACATGTATCCTCCCCCAAATTTACTGACCTCCCCAAAGCTTTGTTGACCATATACTTGGACTACAAAAATAATTTTTGATAATTAACAAGCTAAATTTTATCTTAAATTTATTTTTTTTACTACATTTAGCACTTATGCCAGTTTTTAGTTTGTCCCAACTGATGTTTAGTAATGGAATAATAAACAACTATACCGAAACATTGAAATGTCTAGCTGAAATCTTGTGCACAGCCTATAGTTAAGATATTAGGCTGCAACTCAGCTAAATTATTAATGATTTCATCTGATTGTTGTGATTATATTAAATACAAACACAGGTCAAGAGGTCAGTTAACATTTTAGCTGGCCAACTATCACATCAGAGGTAACACCTATTGCCATCTTCCCCAACAGCTAATTTGTGAGCAATAATTCCACTGGTTGAGCATGAGTGGAAGACACCTCTCTCCCCCTTCCTTCTCCCCCATATTAAAACATTGTAGAAAATAGGCCAAGCATTTGAAAATTATAAAATGCCAGAAATAAGATTGCCTGTACAACTTTAATTAGGTCAATCTGTGCTCCTCCTCACCTAAGAATCTCTCCTCCCCCATATCCCTCCCAAAGCTCCTAATCAAGCAGTGGGCAAGCTGCAGTCCGTGGGCTATATGCAGCCCATCGACGTTCTATGTATGGCTCATGAGACATTTTGTTGACCACAGCCCATGTGTGCAGGGTTTCCAGATTCCACTTGTTTCCATCTGCATAGTTTTTTTTCCCCTACCAGTATTACAATGCAACCTGCACATAAAGCATGTGAAGTGAGAGTTATGCTGACTGCACACAACACTGAATGTGAGAGCCATGCATTCCCTATGAACCACAGCAGCGCTTTGGATGCAATCAGCTCTCTCTACAAATTCTAGACATGCAAGTGCAGTTAGCAAAACTACTCTCTCCCTTGCGGCCATCTTGGTTACAACAATCTTGCAGACCCACTGAGAGGGCCAGTTATGCGCCCACTCAGTAGCCTAGGTTGCCCATTGCTGTCCTAGTCCCAGCCTCCTTGCCAACCAGTTAGAGTTCCCATCGCTGACTCTCAAATCTAGACCAATTGCCCAGCCCAGCTGGGTGCCAATCTCCAGCCCCAGGCTCCAACTCAACACCCCCTGCAAGGAATGATTCTTTGCTCAATTGCATTCAAATCAAGTAGCTTTCTCCTTCATGGGGAAAGCAGTAATTTATAGCATAGAGGAAAGAGTTACCAAGCTCTCAGTTCAAGTACCCAGACCTGGAATGGCTAACAGAAGCCTCTAGCTGCAACTGTAGGGGAAGTCTTATTCAGCCCTGTATTTCACACAAACACACATGAATATACATATTACATTCAGTAATTAGCTGCACAATATGAAAAGTAATATAAATAAGAAATTTCAAGCATCAGTTGATTGTCATAGGAATTTTTTTCATCTCTGGCACAGCATTAACATGGCAGAAATTAGATTTTCAAAACATATTTAAATTATATATTACACACCACAACTTGTGAGACTAGTGAGTTTGTGTGTCCATTCCAAGACTCCTTAAAGAGTCCTTATTTTTAGATTGTAGGTGTTCAGTACTGTCAGAATAACCAGGCCCCTTTAAAGGTATATCAAATTGGACACCAAAAAATAGAGGCTTCTGAAGATAAGAGTCACCTTTGAAAATACAGGCCCACAGAATGTGTTCCTTTTTCCCCTAGTCAATAAAACAAAATTTTCAGCTCTGCTTTCTACTCTTCTGTTCCCTTTGAATACGTGTACTTAATTTTGCTGTCAATCCTGAAACTGATAGGATGTGGGTGTGCAGTCAATTTCAGGACTGCAGTCTTGATTTGTCAACAGCATATCATCATCCATTATAGCAAGGGCAATATGCAAAGTCCCTAGTGTAGCAGTTGTGATTTGCATAGATTTAACTGCTCATAGCTACCCTGAAAAATCTTCATCATACTCCTTTTATAAAAATAAATTAACTTGTTTATACCTTGCACTGAAAATCTGAACCTTCATATTTCATGCAGCCTGAAGCAAGGACAGGTTCTCCGTGTTCATCTTCTTCAACAATGGCAAAGCAATGTCCGTTAGTTCTGTAAAAACACACCATTTCAATTCACTAATTGCTGTGCAAAGTTAACTGGCAATCAATCTAATTATGAAAATTAGTATGTGTACTCTACAGTGTTTCTCACCCTACTATAAATTTATCACCAGAGTTTAAGTGAAGATTAAAGGAAATTAAGCATACAGAGGGGGTTTTCCCCCTAAAAATCAGATGGTACCAATATGAAGACATTGGGTTGAAATACATTTTTTTTTCGATGTAAACCTCAAGTTTAGATACTAGTAGAAGGCGCCTAAACTTAAACAGCAAAACCCGATATTTTCCAAGCAGATACCTTCCTTTTAAAAAAGAACCAATTTGTTCAGATTATCCATTAATCTGAACTCTTTAATACTCTGAAATATAACTATATTAAGATTTTTCTAGTGTATCTACCAAAGGACCATGACATCCTGGAGAACATTTGAGAACCCCTTATTGTAGGAAAAAATGGGTTTACTCTTTTCTTGGAATAATCTTAAATTACCTCTAAAAGGTCCTGAAGATGTGAATCCCAGAGGGAAAACAAGGTGTGTAGGAGAGCACCACAGGGGAATATAGCTTGAAGAACTCCAGTTACTGCAGCAGTGAGTAACTGCATCTTCTTCGAGTACCGTCCCTGTGGATTCTCCATTTTGGGTGACTCCTGGACAACTCCCCCACCCCCTTAGGAAGCAGAACCTTCAGAGCCGAATCCAATACAGAAGAGCCTACAGCTGCCTCTGAGCTTACGGCTGGCAGCAGCGATGATTAGAAAAAGTATGACGAGGATCAAATTTAAGCTCCACACATGTCTACAACTGGCGTATCCTTAGTAAGAATAGTAAGCAGTACTTTTGTGAATATACTATCATTTTTGAAGGGGGCTGAACATGATCAGTTGTACAACACTTAATAAAACTAAAGATCCATTTTGATAACCCTTCTCTTTAGAAATTACCAAGCTACCTATTTGCATAGATTTAACTGCTCATAGCTACCCTGCGAAATCTCCATCATAATAGATATTAATAGTCTAGGAGATTTTAGTTATGACAGTATAAGTGAAGACTGTATCCACCAGAAAGAAATTAATCATCTCTGCTAATCATACTTACAGAGAACTGACCATGGGACCCGAAAACTTAAGTAAAAACTCTCAGATAGCAGGGATTCCAGGTAGATTCTGGAGACCAGTTGCATCGATGAGCTCCCTTTTTTCTAATAAAAGCTCTTTGTAGAGTCTTTATTGATTTGGTTATAGATGTACTATACCCTTTTGGAACATGACAGTTCTATTTCTGATGGCTATCCAAATACCAGGCTTTGAGTTGCAGCAGGTCCCGGATTCAGATGCTTTATGCTGTGTTAGAAGGTTAGCAATGAGGGGATGTTAATCAGTGGCTGATCTGAGCAAGTCAGCACATCATAAGGCAGAACTGTATCAGTCAGGCACAATAAGGATGACTTGAGCTCTGTTTTAATGCATCTTTCATAGAATTTTTAGTATCAATGCAATGGGAAGGAAGGGCTAGTACTGGAATCCATCTTAAATCTTGTATTTTCCACAGAGATGAAGAGACTGAACCAAGGATTCCTGCCCTTGGGGAAAATCTATTTAAGGCAGGAAAGGGAATCTCAGGCTTGCCTGGATCTAGCCTCTGAGGCCCAGGACCTTCCCCCCAGCATTAGGGAGTCCGCACTGGTGCTCCAGCCCTCTCCACTGCCCTACCACAGGACTGGAGCACACAAAATCTACTAGGCTAGGCTCCCCTAGGCTCTGGGATTGGATGGGATGGGAATATGGGGAGTGTATTTCTCCCCCTTAGTCTGGGACTTCCCCCCTACTTTTGTGAGGCCCCTGACTGACTTTTCTGTGGGTCAGCACCCCCAACCTCCCCCCCCAAAAAATGATTCCCCACCCGATTTAAGGAATAGAAAGCAGTCAGCTTTGTCTTCAGCTGGCTTTGAAATGGTCTTAGCCTTCCTAGAGAACATACATGAAGAAACTCAAAAACAAAGAATTCTAAAGAGCCCTGCAAAGCTTAATTCTGTAAAGATTAACTCTTACTTCAAGCATTTTACCTGAGATAAGAGCAGCTGTTTAAGTAAGAATTTGCATGTTACAAGTTTCTTAGTATATTAGAAGTAAGCTGGCGTCTTTTGCTAATTTTAACTGAGGGCAGGAAGGCAGGTTCAGTGGCTTGATCAGCATACCAGGTGACAATTCCAAGAGGACTTCTGTGATCCAACCCATCACAATAAGTATCACCCAAACCGTAAAGGCATTGGGAATGACCATCACTGGCTGGTATAACTTGGTAGTAGAAAAGGCACCGCTTGACTCCTCAGAGGCTGGCATTCCAGAGTACAACAACAAAAAATAACCGCCAAAAGGGAGAAGCTCATAAACAATGAATATATTTCTTTATTTGTTGAGAATGGGAAAAAGTAAACTGTCCAAACAACTAACTAAATTTGCTTTGGTACTAGAAAAAAACCTGGCATTTGGAGACTCCATCTCAGAACAAAAGCAGCCGAGAAGGAAATGAGGGCAGTTTGCCAATTCATACCAATATAGTGATAGAAATGATCTGGAATTCTAGAAATAGAATTCATGAGGTGCATAAATGGGCTGAACAGAAACCGCTAACAAAAACATCCTAAGATGAAATGGAGAAGACACGGGGACACTACCTGATGAAGAAGAGGCACTTACTCACCTGTGAAGTAACTGACATTCATAGAATTATAGAACCATAGAGCTGGAAGAGACCATCAAGTCCATTCCCCTGCCCAAGACAGGACCAATCCCAATTAAATCAACCCAGCCAGGGCTTTGTCAAGACGAGATTTAAACATCTCTAGGAACGGAGAGTCCACTACTTCCCTAGGTAACCCATTCCAGTGCTTCACCACTCTCCTAATGAAATATTTTTTTCTAATATCCAACCTAGAACTCTCCCACCGCAACTTGAGACCATTGTTCCTTGTTCTGCCATCTATCACTACTGAGAATAGCCTTTCTCCAGCCTCTTACGAACCTCCCTTCAGGAAGCTGAAGGCTGCTATCAAATCTCCCCTCACTCTTCTCTTCTGAAGACTAAACAGACCCAAATTCCTCAGCCTCTCCTCGTTGGTCATACACTCCAGCCCCCTAATCATTTTGGTTGCCCTCCGCTGGACCCTCTCCAATGCATCCACATCCTTCCTGTAACTGGGGAACCAGAACTGGACACAATACTCCAGATGTGGCCTCAGCAGAGCCGAATGAAGAGGAATAATCACATATTTGGATTTACTGGCAATGCTCCTCTTAATGCAACCTATTATGCCATTAGCATTCTTGGCTACAAGAACACACTGTTGACTGATATCCATCTTCTCATCCACTGTAATTCCCCAGGTCCTTTTCTGAAGAACTACTACTTAGCTGGTTGGTCCCCAGCCTGTAACAATGCTTGGGATTCTTCCATCCCAAGTGCAGGACTCTGCACTTGTCCTTGTTGAACCTGATCAGATTTATTTTGGCTCAATCCTCCAATTTGTTTAAGTCACCCTAGACCCTATCTCTGCCCTCGAGTGTATCTACCTCTCTCCCTAGCTTAGTGTCATCTGCAAACTTGCTGAGGGTGCAATCCATCCCCTCATCCAGGTCATTAATAAAGATACTGAACAAAACTGGTCCTAGAACTGAACCTTGGGGCACTCCGCTAGAAACCGATCGCCATCCTGACATCGAGCCGTTGATCACTACCTGCTCAGCCCGACCTTCCAGCCAGCTTTCCATCCATCTAAATGACCATTTATTCAAACACATTCCCTTAACGCGCTGGCAAGAATATTGTGGGAGACCGTAACAAAAGCCTTGCTAAAGTCAAAGTATATCACAGCTACTGAATTTCCCATATCCACAGAGCCATTTACCTCATCATAGAAGCTAATCAGATTGGTTAGGCATTACTTGCCTTAGTGAATCCATGCTGACTATTCCTGATCACCTTCCCCTCTTCCAAGTGCTTCAAAATGGATTCCTTGACGATCCCTCCATGATTTTTCCAGGGACTGAGGTAAGACTGACCACCCTAAAGTTCCCTGGATCGTCCTTCTTCCCTTTCCCATTTGCCCTTTTCCAATCATCTGAGATCTCTCCCGATCTCCACTTTTCGAAGATAATGGCCAAAGGCTCCTCAATGACATTTGCCAACTCCCTCAGTATCCTCTAATGTATTAATTCCAGACCCATGGATTTATGTACCTTTAGCTTTTTTAAATAATTCCTAACCTGTTCTTTCCCCATGAAGGGCTGTCCACCTTCGTCCCATATTGCGTAACTTAACGTATTAGTCTGGGAACTGACCTTGTCTGTGAAGACAGAGGAAAAGAAAGCATAAGTACTTCAGCTTTCCCCACATCATCTGTCACTAGGTTACCACCCTCATCCGGTAAGGGCCCCACACCCTCTCTGATCACCACCTTCTTGCTAACATGCCTGTAGAAACCTTTCTTGTTATCCTTGCGAGTCGCAATTCCAATTGTGCTTTCATCTTCCTGATAAGTCTCCTGCATTCTCGAGCTATACATTTATACCTCTCCCTAGTCATCTGTCCAAGTTTCCACTTTTTCTAAGCTCCCTTTTTGTTCCTAAGTTCACCAGGGATTTCCCCGGTAAGTCAATCCGGTCTCCTACCATATTTTCTTCTCTTGCTACGCATTGGAATGGTTTCTTTCTATGCCTTCAATAAGGCTTCTTTAAAATACTGCCAGGTCTCCTGGGCTGTGTCTACATTGGCATCCCTTGAAAGTAGGAATAAGGGATCTTCCGGAAAAGGGCTTATTTTCCGGAGAATCGCGTCTACACTGGTGCTTTTCTCCGGCAAAAACCCCGAGCCAGAAAAAAGCGGCAGCCATGTAAATGCCGCGGGGGATATTTAAATCCCCCTTGGATTTGCAATTCCGAAGTGTCTCATTAGCATCCCTTTTCCAGAAAGGGATGCCAATGTAGAC